GCTCGGGTCCCGCCGCCCGCGCACGGCTCGGCTCGGCTCGGGTCCCGCCGCCCGCGCACGGCTCGGCTCGGCTCGGGTCCCGCCGCCCGCGCACGGCTCGGCTCGGCTCGGGTCCCGCCGCCCGCAGCCAAGGGCCGGGACAGAACTGGGCAAAAGAAACTGGAGCGGACCGGGCTGCGGCGCCCAAGCCGCTGGTGCCGGTGTCACAGCAGAGCCCCCCTCCTCTTAGATCCTCGGACGGGACTCGCGGCGTTTCGCGGGCTCGGGGCGCAAGGGAGCCGGGGCGGTCCGGGGCGGGGGGCTCTCACCTGCCGTGTCCCAGATGGAGATGTTGTAGGGCCCCCACTGCTTGAGGTAGAAGGCGCCGCCGACGGTGCTGACCGTGTCCTGGAAGCGCCGCTCCATGTAGCGGTGCAGCAGGGAGGTCTTGCCCACGTTCATGTCCCCCAGCAGCACCACCTTCCCGTCGGGCTTCTTCATGGCGCCGCTCCGGCCCGGCCCGGCCCGGCCCGTCCTGCCGCCGCTCGGCGCGGAACCTCCCGCCCCCTGCGCCCGGCGGAGCCCCGGAAGCGGCGGCGGCTCCGCCGCGGGCAGCGGCGCCTTGGGGCCGCTGCGAGCGGGAAGCGCCGGCCCCGCCGCGCGCCCCGGCCCGGCCCCGGTCCCGGTCCCGGCCCCGGTCCCGCTCCTCCCACCGGCCCGGTCCCCCCGGGCGGCCGGAGCGGGGCCGGGGGCGGCGCGGCGGGAGCGGGCGACGTGGCCGCCCCCGGGGAGGCTGCCCCGGAGCAGCGGGCGGCGGCTCCCGCGGCGGGAGAGGGGATTTCCCTGGAGCAGCTGCGCGAGTTCAGCCTGATTCCCGCGCCGGCAGCATCAGAACCACCCCCTTTAACTTGCCCCCAGAGATAGCCCCTCTTTTCTATTTATTTATTTTTTTATTTTTTCCCCCCCACCATGAATCCTCTCCATGCCAAAAGAGTTTTGGAAAAACGTTTTTTTATTAGCATTTAAGGTATTATGACGTGTTTTGACTTTGCTTACCCGCTAAAAAAAAAAGAAAAAAAGAAAAAAGAAAAAAGAAAAAAGAAAAAAGAAAAAAGAAACAGTTCTCTAACAATATTTGTTTTTCAAATCCCATCCAGTTAATGTTGCTCATTCTGCTTTTAGTGCCCAGGGGTGGAGGTGCTGCAGTGCCTCGCAGAGATACATAATTTCACCTAGGAATTACATATGCTCTGAAGAACAAAGTTCTGAAGATACTCAGAGTTGTTGTTTTTTGTTTTTTTTTTCTTTTACAACCAACACCAAGATAATAGTAGGTAATATGACTCAAGGCTGCACAAAGTAGTATGTGATAGATTTTTGTTTCACTTTGATAACTATATGGCACTATTTGGCTCTAAAGTGCATAGTTTTTCCCCAGGTCCTGCTTCCTACTTGAATTCCATCAATCCCAGAGCTGGGAAAGAGAAACTGGCTGAATCAAAATGCTTCATTATGCTAGCAGTTATGCTTCTTCCAAAGACTCTGTCTGGAAGCATAAAACCTCTTTGCATRGATACACTTCCATGTTCCCACATGCAAAGTTACTCTTAAATGGCAGACACCTTTACAGAAAGGTGAGAAAACAAGAATCCTGTATCAAAGAGTTTATACCCTGAAGATCTAAACCAGTAAAAAGATCCTTATTCATGCACTGATTTACTATCTATGTAATAAAAAAACAATCCTAAAAGCCAGAAGTAGGAGTACTGATGTACAGCAGTGCCCCTGCTATGGAATCCTAGCAGCTAAAACAATTATTTCCTATGTTAGTAAGATTCTGCTCTATTTGATTTGTTTTCATTCTCTACTGCAAATGTAGCCATTTGGGGCATCCAAAACACGAGTATCAATAATCTCCAACAGTGRTTCAGGAAATTTAGGAGAAAATCTAAGATAGAAAATAGCTGCAATAAAGTGGTGAAAATGCAACTGGGATTTTAGGCTTTGCTGGTAAATAACATATACTGTAAAAAGAGACCACTGCTCCCTTGATAGACATTTTGCGTAGTTGCTTGAAACTACTGTCAGCTCCTCCACAGACACTTTTGAGCAGACGTATTTCAAGCTAACAGCACTTGATCAGTCTGGGGACTCTCCTGAAAGTGTCACCAGCTCCTGCTAAGTGAAGGCAATGTTTTACTTTTGTGTACTGAGCATAGCCTAGATAGATTAGACCACAAATCTGTCTGAAAAAAATGCTCACTTAGGTCTGGTGCCACAGAATCTAAGGATTCTGGTTCAGCCAGGGCCTTCCCGTCTCCATTTGTTTAGTTCGTAGTAACCAACCCCTAAGAATAAAACAGCGTTGGACCAGAGATACGATGGAAGCCTGAAATTCAGGAAAATATTTGGTAATGTGATAAAACGCCAGCCTTGTGAGAACAGTTGCATTTCTGAGATTAGCCAAATCTCAGTTGGTGAAGTCAAATAGCTATGAYGCACTGTAATGCAATATAGAAAATAAGTGAAAAAGAGGGGGGAAAACATTGAAAACCTGCAGTTTGCTCTCAATCCCTTAAATGTATAGACTTTTTGCAAGAGAGAACTTCCCCAAATCACTGATGTATATCTGTCTGCAGAGAGATGTCTTTTTGGGAGCAAGTACGGGGATGAAGAATTTGAGAAATTAGTTGAACTAGAAGTGGAAGGGATATGGAATACTTTACTGTTTGGGTAGTGCATGTATGCAGGTTGTACACCTTGCTTGGGTTGTCTTCTTTTTTAGTTTCAGAGCGTCTGAGGACACGGTTTAATTACTGTGGGGGTGTTCATTAGTCTTCCTCACAGTGTGGCTGCATGGTCACCACACTGGTCTCCAGATGTCTGGAGTTCAGACAGTGTTGTGTCATCCACCTTCCATAAACTATACAAGAAATTTGTATACTTTATGAAAGAGGGAAAACACATCATCAAGGTTTCCTAGGAATTTTCCTTGGAAACAGGAAYGTCAGCCTTCTATCTTAAACCTTGTACCTCAACCTAACTGCTGCCACCAGTAACATGCCACAAGTTTGCTGAGGCCTTGCTGTCAAGAACTGTCTTTTACATCATCTGATGCTATCTCTGTCTTCTGAGATATTAAATCTCCAGGGCCAGACCAGGGCTTCAAGGAAATATCACAGGGATCTGACTGGGTCTGTTTGTAGTAGCAAAGGAGGTACAAACCATTGACACTGTACTTTTTAAACACAGACAAATCCATAAAATAGGGGTGTGTACCTCTATAAAGTAGAGGTAGTTGTGCAATGACCGCTAGGTCAGGCCTCAGAACAAAACAGAAGGGCAATAGGAAGGTTTATTGCTTGTCCTCAAAACATCCTSACACTCAAATGATTTATTTGTTGCATTCCTTAGTAAGACATGAGGTCACTGCAAAAGGAATGAACACTTTGTGGCAGTATCTGGTTCTGTTTCTGCTTAATGCCTYCCTTTATTACATCTTTTATCTAAATTAGCAGATGAGCAAGTATGCTCGTTAAACAGGAACGTTCTCAGTCCTCAGCGTCGAGGTAACCCTAAGTACAGCTCTCTCTCAAGACACTTTCCATAGCTGCAAAGTCTGAAAGAACTGCTGATCTCATTGCCTGGTTCACCTCCTGGCTACATATTTATCCCTAGACTAGATTGTTCCTCTCCACCCCATGGGTYAGTTCATAGCCCAGGCTCCCTAATGGAGGCAAATTATACTGCACTTCCAATCAAGAGCTAGTCACTTTTTCCCTCGGATTGCAATTCCTCCCCTTTCTCCCTGAGCTCCGGAAATATTTTCCCACGCCTTTTCTTGTACTGGCTTCTGTTTGACCCTTCCCCAGGCCAACTTGGTTTGATGAGCTGATGGAAAAAATRGCTCAGCAGTGGAAGTTAAGAGTTTTATGCTAGTTTTGTGATTAGAAGAGAACAACGTAGAGCCAGTGCAAAGGAGGCTGATCGAGTAGCCCACAGTTGGAGCCACTTAGTTCCAGCTCTCTGGAGCTTCAGCTGGACTAACACCAGCAAGGTACTTGGACATGCATTTCCCCCTGGCCTGTATCTCTGCTCTGCCCTCTCTCCAGATCACAGAGCGTTCAGAGCCCCTTAGAGAAACAGTTGCAGGGCTGTTTTCTTTCACAGTGATTGCTGAAGGGTATCACTGTATTAACTGTGCCTGGCAGACGCCTGGAGCAACACTACACTGAAAATGAAACAAGTAAAATCAACCACCTTGAGACAGCCTTATCATGAAAAAGCCTGACCTGAATGGATAGCATTTGTCTTTTTTATAAGTAACTGAAAAGAAAGTCTTAGGTAGAAATTATTAGACAACTTCATAGGCACAGCCATCAAGACTTGAACTGTCACTGATGCTCAGACACTAGAGAGGAACATAGGGGTTGGTGAGGTGCCCCACATCCAAGTCTTGGGCAGAAAGTAAGTTTAGTTTTAGTTGCAAAGCTGTGAGTTGAGGTCGCAGAGAAGTTTTCTTCAGTGAGGACTCTGAGTTTTGGTACCAGCTACAGCTAGCACGAAGCAGAGGATCCACTCACTGGATCCACTCAACTCATCATCTCAGTTTGCTCTTTACTGATGCTACAACTTCTCCAGAATAATACAACTCTTCCACTATTTATATGTTAGATAGATTAATATGTTTTACAATATATTTTAGAATACGAAACTTTGCAATTGCACTTTGCAATTTCTTTAAACTTTCTTCTGTACCTATTTAAAAATGTTTAGTTTGGCTTTAGTTTGTAAAGGAGAGAACAAAAGAACTTCTTCCTAAATTTCAGGGGGATTTTGTTCGGGCTGTGCTTGCCAGCTGGCACAAAAAGGTAGAATTGAGGCCTTAATCACAAAATAAGAAATAATGATTTAAAATAATCACAAAGTAGGCAGCTCTGGTAAGCCTATAAAAGGTGAGTTTTATATAGATTTRTATTTTTTTAATTGCAGCATTTTAAGACCTAATCACTTTCCAGCAAAGTGGAATAATCTAAGCTTACCTTCTTATTCTCTCATGTTCCTTGAATTTAACAGGGTCCTGTATGGGAATGTTTCTATGACTATAGACATAGTTTCTATGACTGCAGAATTAAGAAGGAGATCAAGTAAGCAAGCTGAGAGTAAATTTAAATCTGATCTTGTTCATATAAAATCATTGAGATTCTTTCAGCTTGCTCATCATGAATAGATCCATGTACCTACATGAAGCCCCATATATCCTGGCTGCATGCAGCAACACACTCGGTGAATTGGACTATATACTTGGTAGAATTTGATAGTTCAACCTTGATGATGATAATGGCACACGAGCCCAAATGAAGACCACTTGTGACCTTTAAATGGGAAGTTATTTTCACACCATAGTGTTGTGGCAGTTGGGCAGTCTTTATTTACAGATTCAATACAATATTGATCTTGCATTGATCGTGTGCAAGAGAAGAAACAACAACCATTTTTCCA